AGCCAAAAATGTAAGTTCCAGCCCTATATTTTGCATGTTAAAATATTGACAAAAAACATAATTAGAATTCTTGTGCAGTTATGAGAAACAAAAAAAGTTGCATCTTTCTCGCACCGTAATGTCCCAAAACACTTTACAATTATTTAAATACTTTTGAACAGGAGTCACTGTTATAACATGAGAAGTGTGGCAGTTAATTTGCACACTGCAAGCTCCCACAAATGTCAATGTGGTAATGAGCAGATAATTTGTTTTTGAGATGTTAATTGAAGGAAATGAATTAGCCAAAGTCTGAGGACAACTCCCCTGATTTTCTTTGAAGTTGTGCCATTTGGATTGTAAAGGTCTCTCTGATAGGACAGATGGGGCCTTAATTTGATGCCTCATCTGAAAGAAGAAACCTCTGACAGTGCAGAACTGCTTCAGTACTGCACGACATTGACAGCCTAGATATAATGTACAATTCCTGGGGTAGCACTTGAACTCACAACCTTCTGATTCAATGGGGAGAGAGCTAGCAATTAATTTTGCTGTCAAACACATAACAACTGAGTTACACGTTTGAGATATTGTGCTCTCTATTAATTCTTTTACATCAATGCCCCTTCACCTCTTCACTTCCAAATTCTAATAACCACTAAGCTATTTTACTTCAAGTTAGTTAACAGAGCCTGAGATCCCTTTGACAAGAGCTGTAAAAGATCATATATTTGTGTATTTTATCAGCATGGACAATTTTATGCCCATCATAGAAGGGGATGAATCAAACTAAATTAAACAAAGCCCCATGAATTATAACGTGCACAAGAACATAAGAAATAGGGTTGAGTAGGCCACTCAGTTCCTTGAGCCTGTCCTTGTACTGTATGGCTAATCTGATTAGTCTTGTATCTTCCTTCATATGCCCTGCAATCCTTGACTCACTAATAGAGGGTGAATTGAAAACTACTTTTAATAAGAGAATGCAATAGTTCATGCAAGAGATATTTTCTTTAAAAATACTTTAAGAAAGACTTGGCATTTGTATTGTACTTTTCATCTCCCAAAACTTTCCACAGCCAATGAGGTATGATCTGAAGTGTTCACTGTTATAAGTTATACAGTGTACACTGTTATAAGTGTACAGTAATTGCCCATTTATATTAGACAGGAGGGTGTTTACTTTGGCTTTTGGCAAGCCACCCATCCTGGAAATGAAAAGGCCTCAGCTCACTGTTGAAGCCCATGTGAAATTATTGAGTGGTCACCCAAAGCATGGAACAGATAACAATTCAATGGCTGAATCACAAATACAATGGAGCTTTTCAATGACATGCTCTTCTAAACCCGTCGCAGTTATCTGGCATAATAATCTGAATGCACAAATAGAGTTGTTGCTCTATATCTACATCAGGCAGGGCAAGCTGGACATAATGATGCTGCTGGTCTATATACCAAAGTACATACATACAAATTAAAGCAGAGGTAGGCCATTGGAACCTTCAAGCATGCCCCCCTATTCAATAAAATCATGGCTGAGCAATTGGTGTTTGGAACCGCACATTCTCATCTACTCCCAATAACCTTTCATTCCCCTTCCTAACTAAAATCTATCTAACCCCACTTTAAAAATATTTAATGACCCTTCTTTATTTTCATTCATGGGAACTCTGGCTGGGCCAGCATTTAATGCCCATCCATAATTGCCCAGTGGGCAGTTAAGAGTCAGCCACTTTGCCATGGGTCTGGAGTCACAGGCAGGCTAAACCAGGTAACGATGGCAGTTTCCTTACCTAAAGGACATCAGTGAAATGGATGGGTTTTTTTTTGAGAATTGACAATGGATTGATGGTCATCATTAGACTCTTAATTACAGTTTTCTTTTCTATTGAATTCAAATTCCACCATCTGCTGTGGCAGAATTCAAACCCGGGTCCCCAGAACATTGCCTGGTTCTCTGGATTAACGGTCCAGCAATAATACCACTAAGCCATCCTCTCCCCCTATCTCCACTACCTACTCATGCAGAGAGTTCCAAAAAAATTTTAAAACAGTGTCCCTTGTTCTGGACTCACCCTATGTGTAAACGTTCCTTCCACATCCCTACTTGCCCATTCAGGACCTTATAAACTTCAAACAAATTCTCTTCCACACTCTTCTAAACTCCAGTGAAACAAATCCTGCCTGTACAATCTTTCTTAAGGCAATTCAATCATTCCAGGTACCAAGCCTTTGAACTATCTCCAACATATTTACATCATTCTATAAATGAGGCAGTCAACACTGCACACTGTATTCGAGAGATTATCCCACAAGTGCTCTGTATGAGTGAAGCATAACATCCTTACATTTGCATTCAATTCCTCTCATAATAAAGGACGGCACTCCATCAAGCTTCTTAAATTATACATAATATGTACCAATTGCTAAATCATGATTTTATTGAATAGGAGGGCAGGCTTGAAGGTTCCAATCGCCTACCTCTGCTCTAATTTGTATATATGTACTTTGATATATAGACCAGCAGCATCATGTTCAGCTTGTCCTGCCTGATGTAGATGTAGAGCAACAACTCTGTACTGTCATACATAGAACCTTTACGTTGTGGAAGCAGGCCATTTAGCCCAATGAATTCACACTGACCCTCTGAAGAGCATACAACCCAGACCACCCCCCATATTTCACATGGCTAATCCACCTAGCCTGTACATCCCTGGACACTACAGGCAATTTAACATGGGCAATCCACCTAACCTGCACATCTTTGGAGTGTGGGAAGAAAACCGGAGTACCCAGAGGAATCCCACGCAGACATGAGGAGACTGCGCAAACTCCACACAGACATTCTGAGGGTGGAATCGAACCAAGGTGAGGCAGCAGCGCTAACCACTGAGCTACCGTGCCAATCCTACCTGCATACTTTTTATGACTCATGCACTACAACACCTAGATTCCTCTGCACCTTGGAATTCTGCAATTGGTCATTATTTAAATAGTAGCCTGCTTTTTTTCATTCTTCCTACCAAAGTGAACAACTTCATATTTTCTCACATCATACTCCATCTGCCAGATTTTTGTCCACTCACTCAACTTATCCAAATTGTTCTACATACTTGTTCAGTCATCTTCAGAAGATATTTTATTACCAATCTTTGTTTCATCTAGCAAATTAGCCACCAATCCCTTCATCTAAGTCATTGAAATAATTTATAAGCAGTTCAGGACCTGGCACAGACCCTGCTACACCCCTCTTGGTGCATCCTGTCAGTCTGAAAAAAGACCCATTTGTGCATAACCTCTGATTTCTACCAGCTAGCCGATCTTCTATCCATGCTGGTTTGTTAGCCCCCACATCATTTGTTCCTATTTTGCACAATAAAGTTTTATATGTAATTTTGTCAAATGCTTTCAGGAATTCCAAGTACAGTACATCAACACGCTCCCCTTTATTCACAGCACATGTTACTGCTTTAAATAATTCAAATAAATTGGCTAAATACAATTTCCCTTTCACAAAGCCATGCTGACCCTTCCTCCTTAATGTTCAATTCCACCACCTTCCTGCACTGCAATGATATGACAGTAACAGCATAATATACTGATAATCTGTAACTAACTTACCATGATACTCATGTTAGTTTCCATAACGTAAATGTAAGATGTGGGCCATGCTCCCTGTAAATTTCTTACTGCCTGCACAGTCCTCCAAGGCCTATAGACATCAATGACTTATGGAACCAGAAATCAATATGATCAGCATGCTGATGCCGATCGCCATGCACAGAACATGGATGTGGCTGGGAGTCTATACTGAAGAATTCAATGAATTTTTATTACAGAACCTGGTATTGATACATGTACACTACAATCACAGGCATGTGTGTGCCTGGGCTTAACTTAACGAAGTGGATGTACTGCAATACACTTCCCTCAGCGTGTCATGTTCCAAAAGGACAGAGTTCAGTAAGATAGAGTTTGAGAACTTCGTACAATTAGGTCACAATTACGATACGGTGTGTCCCTGCTGGAGAGATAATACAATATTCCCCATTTTCCAAAGAAAAGAAATCCGAAACAGATACACTATTGTGCATAGGTATGTGTTGTCAATTCAACAATTATACTGACATGTGAAAATAGAGTCTACAAGATTAATACGTCAAACATTGATAATGCTTTGGAAGTTTTGCAACTAGCCCTGATTTGGTGATCATAATCCATCTGGAAAGGTATGTGTTAGCTTTGTTTCCTCTTGTCTGACAACTTGGTTTTCTTGCCAAAGGTTGCTGTTGTTCAGCATCATCACACAATCATTGCATCAGAGCTTTCTTCCTCAGTCTGTGGTATAATTTACATTGCTCTGAGATGGATTCTGTTCCTTTGCATTGTCACACTATCGTCAGTAATGACTTCATAGGATCCAGGCCGGATGGATATCTTCAAAATCTCTGCTGGTACCCAGGTATTTGTGACTGGATTTCTGTTTCGTACTCGCTGACCAGTGTGTAATTGTGGTAGTTCTCTACCTGCTCGCTGGAGGTGTATCTGTTTCACTCTCCTCTGTCTGTGAGGTGGAAAGTCCTATGGGTCTTCTATTTTTAACGCCATGGGTGGGCTTGAATGTCATGAATGATTACAATGCTGAGATCTGTGCATACTAGCAGTCCTGTCATTGCTGGGCCATCAGTATCAATGCAGTAGAGGATTTCAGGAATCTAAGCTAAATGTGCACTTTTGCACTGCAGTATGATTATGGCACTGCATAGACTCAATGGTCCTTTATAGGTTGCACCATGGATCACCACTTGTTTGGGTCCATGTCTTTTAGGATGCTCCTGAACGAATTTTGGCCTTCAGGGTGTGTCAACCTGCCTTTTGGGGACATATAACGTCAATGCTTGTAAAATCTCTGCTTGTCTTACATCACCGATGTGGTATATGAGGTTGTCGTAGGAAAGGCTTGGTATCTTTCAAAGGCTCCTTTTCAGTTTGTTGGCTGCTCACTTTGTTGAGCTGTTTACAGTTGTTAGGACGACTTTCCATGCCACCTTCAGTCTGGCGTTGCACCACCTGGTTGGGCACCTTGGCCATGTTTCGATTTAAATTTATTTGTTTGTCACATGTACTAATGATAGGAATACATAAGTACAGTGAAAAGTGCACAAAGTCACCATTTGCTGGCGCCCACTTGGCTACAAAAACCAGAATTAAGAGATTTGGCAGCCAAAGAAGTAGCAAGAAAAGGAAGTCCAGATCTCAGAGTCCCAAGTCCCATCTCCACAATGGTGCAGGGGAGTCTCCAATCCCGAGGACACCCTCACCGCTTCACCGGCCCAATCTCACTCCCACTACCTCACTACCCCACTCCCACTCCCGCTGCCTCACCACCCCACTCCCACTCCCACTCCCGCTGCCTCACCACCCCACGCCCACTCCCACTCCCGCTGCCTCACCACCCTGCTCACACTCCCGCTGCCTCACCGGCCCACTCTCACTCCCGCTGCCTCACCACCTCGCTCTCACTCCCGCTGCCTCACCACCTCGCTCTCACTCCCGCTGCCTCACCACCTCGCTCTCACTCCCGCTGCCTC